TGATGGCGTGTGACTTCTGAGGTCCAGTCAGAGAGGACACTGGCTTGCACCTTGCTTGCTCTGGTATGAGGACACTCGAGGGGCCTTACAGAGAGGTCCACACAGCAGGCAGCGTGTGAGGGAGCCATCTTGGAAGCCGGTCCTCTAGCCCAGCACAGCCTTTAGGTAATGACAGCTGAGGCTGTCGTCTCCACTGCACCCTCACGAGGAACCCCAGGCCAAAACCACCCACAAAAACTTGTGAGATAATGTTTACTATTTCAAGCCACAGAGTTTTGAGGTAATCTGTTAGGTAAAAATGGATAACCAATGCATCACCTTATCCTTTTTGTACAATCACCTTCTAACTGGGCTCCCTTTCAGCTGTTCCACTTATCAAATTACGCCAAAGTATTCCTGTTGTCACTTTCCTTGATTAGAAAGCTGGAGAGGTTTTTCACTCCTTTTTGAAAAAGTCAAAACCAAGGCTAAGGCACTGGCACAAGAGACTGATGGGTGGTTCTGAAACACCCGAAAATCTACTTCTATGACGCTGTCCTCGACCAACACCAGTTGGTAGTACCACAGCTTATGTCAGTTCCTACAGACTTTTATTGCCTTGAACCATTTTTTTTTCCTTTTTGTCTTTTTTACTGACCGGTAACGGGATCACAACCCTCGGTGTTACGCCCGCACTGCGCTCAGCCAGTGAGCGGGAACCGGTCTCCACATGGGATCCAAACCCTCGGCGGGTTATCTTGAATATCTTTTCTAGTTAAAAGTAACCTTAGAGACCACCTAGTCTAACTCTTGCTTTAAAATTGAAGAAACAAATCCGTAAGTGTTAAGGAACTTTCCCAGTGTCAGAAAGCTGTTTTTGGGACGGCCCCATGGCTCACGTGGGAGAGTGTGGCGCTGGTAGTGCCGAGGCCACAGGTTCGGATCCTATATAGGGATGGCCGGTGCACTCACTGGCTGAGTGTGGTGCAGACCACACTGTTCCCAGGGCTGCAATCCCCTTACCGGTCAAAAAAAAAAAAAAAAAAAAAAGAAAAGCTGTTTTGCTGCCAAGCTTGAATACAGTTTAGTTAAAACCATTTCAGATACTTGAAAATCAGGTATTGCTGATAAAGAATCTACTTTGCTAGTTACAGACTAGTTCTTTTCAGTTACCAGGGTGAAAGCTCTTGGGTCCTGAACTCACTAGCTTCTTTGCTAGTGAATGCCACTTTGGAACAGGGAAGGGTGCAGTTCTCACCAGCGCAGCACCTGGAGGAGTGTCTCTGGCTGCAGTGGGAGTGCTTAGTTCAAGTTTATATTCTGTGCTTATATATCTGTTTATATATCTGACTTCAAAGTCACCTTGAGACTGGCAGGATGACCCAGTGGCATATGAGCCCCATCTCAAGTCGTGTTCCCTTGGTCGGTGGACAAGCTGGATTCTTCTTAGGCTCTTTTTCCCTTTGGGATGTCTAGACCAAAATTTCTTCACTTAAAAGTGGAGGTTATTCTGTTTTGTTTACAAATTCCGACTCCATGCTGCAGGAGCCACCCCGTCCAGCAGGTTTACTGTGCAGATTCTGCTGTTCTTCCTTTCTCCTTCTCCCACTTGGTTCCGACAACTTCTACACTGTCTGCTTAGGAAACTGATGTTCAGCTAGTGCTGCAGAAATCGCCAGTTCACCTTTGGCATTTCTACCCTCCTAAAAACTGGTGCTTCTGGGAGGAGTTAGTATGTGTATCACCCCAGGGAAGGGGACTGGAGGTGGAGGCAGGCCAGTGACCACAGGTGACGGCTGCTGTCAGAAGGGAACACCGAAGCAAAGAAGGTGTAAAAGAGGAGCAAGCTTCCAGTAAGCAAGCCTGCTCAGGGCTGTGCCTCCAAGCTGGCCATCGCCATGGGAAGCACGCCCCCCTTTCTTCAGTTGTCAGCCACCCTGCCTCATTAGAGCAGCTGGGAGAGCATGCCCATACAGGACTGGAGGGTCTGGCCCTCGGTGCTGCAAGAAAGCTGAACACTGAGTTGTGTCAGACATCCAGATGCTTTATTCTCAAGCCCTAGGGACATAAACAACTTTCTCGATGCCCCACTTGTCAGGAGCTCTGTCCTGTCAGTTCTGGAACCCTTTTACTTTCGCTGTTTTCACTCTAAGGGCTCTGATGTGGCCGCCAGCTCAGGAGCAGAGTTGCAGAGTGTTTTGCACAGTACAGTGTATTACAAATAATTACACATCATATATATTTTAATGGAAAGAGCCAGAAGAGCAGTACAAATTCAGTCTGCCAGGTAACTGCATGTGAACATTGAACTCGTGTAGGCAGTTTTATATTAAGCAGGTTCTTAGCTCTTAAACGTGTTTGGGTGGGCAAAGGGAGATGTTTTGAGATATGTACCTTTGACTGACATGAAGGAAGGACTATACCCTTTGTTAGCATTCTAGTTAATGTGTGTGCACACGTGTGTGTGGCGTGGGTGCGTATGCACGTACACAACTCTGCAGGGACATCAGAACTGGAGTCTTTACCTCACATGTGCAATCAAGCCCTTTTCTTAAAGTACTCTTTACGAAACTAGACTATAATGATTTACGACTATGTATCATGTTCTCAATAGGAACTGGGAACTAAAAAGAAAGAAACCATTAAATAAGGGTTATCCAAGACTTTTCCCATTTAGGATTTCCAAATTTTCTGTGTCTCTGGAATCCAGGAGGTACGAGTCAAAGACTCTGACTTGAATGGAGAAAGTCACTGAACATTTATTTGGATTATGAGCTAGATACACACAAGAATGTCTTGTCGTACACGTCACAGAGAAACTTCAGTGGAAGGAGCTCTTAAAAAATGGCAACCAAGCGAACGGCCTGTGTAAAGGAATTAACAGCAAACTCAATACCATGTAATGTTTAAGAAACACTCTTGGTTAACATAAGCCCATAAGAATTTCCTAAGTTTACATTTTAGGAATATGTCACTAGAGGAATTCTACTTAGAAAGTTGTATAAAAGCTTTATCCCAAACTTATCAAACTGTATACACTAAAAATGTGCTGGTTTTTTGTATATCAATTATATCTCAACAAAGCTGTTTTAAAAAGCTTTATTTATACATAATTGTCTCCATATATGTGACTTACATAATAAAATGTTGTGTAGTCTTTACAAAATTTTAATTTCTTACCGTATTGAGGTTAAAAAAAGTCGTGGCTGCCTGGTGACACAGCAGAGTCACTGGTGGTGGCACCATTTCTATTTTTCCAGTGTGGTCCTGTGGATTGTATTTCTCAAGTGACCGTAAGCTGCTGCTGCTAAGAGTATCTTGCATTCCCAACCCAGGTGATTTCTAACAGCTAGTTACCGACATCACCATTTTACAGTAAGAACTCAACACAGATGGTATGATGGAAAGCCATTTTATTTTTCCCTAGATAAATTTTAAAATCAAATACTTTAATGGAACAAATTTAGTAGCATCATGTTCCCATGAATGCCAGCAATACCTAGACTTTTACACACACAGGAAGCCTAGTCAAAGCCCAGTCAGTAGTATATGTTCCTTCATGGTCCTTCAACAGTTTTGCATGTACAAAGTTTTCTGCTATTTTGCTTTAGCAAAAAGCAACATAATTTAAAATTTTTGTGTTTCCTATATGACACCTAAAATCCAGTCCTATATTTATTAATATAGTTAGAAAAATAAAAGTCTTAAAAATGGTACTAATCATATAATCTCTTCAAACATATTTTTAAAACTCCTACATAACTTTCTGGTTTAATGTGAAAGGCTTAAGACTTGAAATCTAGTAAAACTGTTAAGTCAATGTTTGTATCAGTGATTTAATTTTTACTTGCCTTGGAAATGTTAATTCCCATTGTCCACTGAATGAATGCCTTTCAAATATTAATAAGTATATTACAGTATTTACAAGCATTCTTATGTACTCTGACACTGACAGAAAGCTAAGCCATGGGAGGGAAGCACACAATGACGTATCTTCACAACGTATGGGCCAAAAGAACCAGTGCTCAAGCTGGGAGGGAGGTGGGGTGACAGTGGGAGGCCTGTGCACACCATGCACACGTGCTCTGAGACACCCAGACTCAAATCAAGGCCAGCCAGAAAAACAGCATTTTTTTTGTTGTTGGTTTAGAAGTAAAAGCTGAACAGCAGGAAACTGGGATGAATGGGAACACTGCAAAGGGAGGTTATTTAGAAGGAAGAACAGGAAGCTATGCCTAAAGTCAGACTAGGTTAAGGATTTCAAAACCAAATGCCAAAGCTCTTAGTGAATTGCCCTATGGAAATTACCTAACTTAGCTGAAGTGCTGCGGGGGGTGGGGGGGTACATGTAACGGATAAGGTAGGGTTAAACTCAAGAGTTTGTTTTGGCACCCCAAAACAAGGCTAATTTGATTTCTACAATTTTGACTGTGCCATGTTCCCTTTCTTACACTACTTTCTGCAAACTGTTTCACATGGACACAATGTCCACTTGACCTCTTTAATGCACTTGGCAAACCCCGTTAATGCTGCTGAAGATTTACATTCTAATGCTCTGGTAAGAGATCATAATGCCCAGACCATCCTATACAGTACCATAAACCTGAAGAAGTGAAGTGGAAGAGATTTACTAGATATTAACTGTGTGAATATGAATGAAATTCATGTTTTTGGGGTTTAATTTCTTGTGTTTTAATAGAAACATTAACTAGTCATTGTCTTAAGCACATATTCCAGGTGCATATCTATACACATATACACACACTGTTTCCTCTCCCTTGTACCCTTACTTTAAATCACTTAAGAAGCTCAAGCCTGGGACCATCAAAGTGGGTGGATCCCACCTACCTGTCTGGAGTATAAAGTTCAGATAGTCTCTTGAAAATTTTATAAATGAGATTCACCCAAAATAGTTTTTAAAGCTCTAAAGCATGAGTCTTTAAAATAATTTAAACAGAATCAGCAAGGGTTCTCTAGTTGCTCACTTTTACATGCAAACACAGACGAACTGTTAACATGCATTATTTTAGTCAGTTGGTAAAGTTTATTTCGTAAGTATAAGTAATTGTAAGCCATTAACTAAATTGTAAATTTCAATCCATTAAAAAACACTACCAGAGCAGTTTTGAGGTATTACTGTAAATTTAACATTAGAAATGTTACTGCATTTTGATGTGGTATAAAATGTGACTGCCATGCCTTTTAGTAAATGGGCTGTCATACTGTTGACTACAGACATGTCCTGGAGCTTTCAGGAAATTATTGTGCACGTGCATTAATCAATTTTCCAAACATTCATGGCAATTTGATTAGTTCGTCATTTCTAAGCATCCCAAAATATTAAAGTATAGTCTATAGTACGGGCCAAGCAAGCTGAGAAATTTCAGGTATACAATGCTACCTTCCAGTCTACCTTCATCAGAACTCAACTTACAAGCTCAAGTCATTTACAAGGAAAACTAGTGCAAAAAGCATCCAAAAATTTTGCCTGTCAGCAGGTAAATTTTCTTGTAATTTTAAAAGAGTTAGATATTTTTTAATTTTAAAATTCATTTATAAAAATAAATTTCAGTTTGAGGCTTTAAGTACCAAATTGTGGCTTAATTTAGTTGTGATGGCTGCAGTATGAAGTTATGAAAATGTAGCTGAAAATGTGTGAGCTCCAGCTCATGCTCCACAGCATGGCCAATAGCTGGCACCTAATGCTGTCACAACCCTTTTCATAGTTAACCAAAATACATCAACTTCTCATCAAATTTTTAGGCTTCCTTTGTCCTGAAATTCCCACAAAACTTTAATTCTTAGACCTCCATTATAAAACTATTGGTAACCATAATACATTCGAGATAGGGAATGAAACCTGTCATGCTCAGGAGACACTGATCTGAGACACCGGGACAGACACAGCAGCTCAAGGGAAATGGTCCGCAGTGGAGGTGTACAGCTTATTCAGATGTTTTGCACTGGATTTCAAGCAGAAAGTCCTTTATATAATGTTTATCTCAGAGTAATGATAATTTAAACATCAGTATCAGCAGATGCTTCAGGATTTTGTGCTGTGGCCTGCCTCCAGTGCCAGGTGTATGGCAGGCTCAGAATCACTGTGCACACTGGGTAGGAACACTGTCATGTGGAAATGCCAATATGACTTACTGCTTAGCACTGTGCTGACATCGACACCTCCGTTAGACTGATTTCTCATATAAGAAGCTTTTGGCCTTAGTCAGGAAATTATTTGAGGAACACTGAAGAACTGAACTAAGGAGAAAGTTTCCGGCTTCCAAGTCCACACACTGTCATGTGGAAATGCCAATATGACTTACTGCTTAGCACTGTGCTGACATCGACACCTCCGTTAGACTGATTTCTCATATAAGAAGCTTTTTGCCTTAGTCAGGAAATATTTGAGGAACACTGAAGAACTGAACTAAGGAGAAAGTTTCCGGCTTCCAAGTCCACACACACACAAAAGCAAATTTCAAACTGCTGTCTTCTCTCAGAGCAAATGATCAATTGGCTGATCTGTCACATATCATCAATTGATATGAACACAGCATTCAGTTTTTTTTTTCCCCACAATGTGATGTGGAAAAAATCTGACCTAATGCAAATTCAAGCTTATTAAATAAAAACACGGGAAGGAGACAGTCCGGGTCAGTGTTCTCGCGCACTGATGCTCTCTCTGAACACAAAAGCAACGGAAGGCACGAGGCTCAGATTTCATTGATAGTCCTCTCTGAAGGGCAGTATTCCGAGGTGCCTGGTGAGGACATGTAGAAAGACTGTGTTTTCCTTTTTAATCGAGCTCTTTTGTTGGCCAACACCAGACTGCGCCGGCTTGAACTGATGATTTCTGAAATGAACTTTTTGCAGTCTACACACACCTCTGTAGTGCTCCAGTCCTCCATCAACTCTTTGGGAAATTGGAGGTCTTCTTCTGATTTGTCTACAGACTTAGATTTTGAGGAGAACCTGGGTGGGAAAAAAACACACCCAACATTATCAGAGTTCTATTGCAATAGTAAAAAAAAATGTAAAAAAAGTAAATTTGTTGCCAAAATTTTATGAAATGAATGAATAATTTAATCATGTCATGTTCCTCCAAAGAACAATTTCTTTTTGGAGGTAAGGTTCAAAAATATTTTTTAGAAAAGAAACCAGGAAGAAATAGGGCTGGCCAGTTAGTTCAGTTGGTTGGAGTGCGGTGTTATAACACCAAGATCAAGGGTTTGGATCCCCTGACCAGCCAGCTGCCAAAAAAAAAAAAAAAAGAAAAAAAGAAAAGAAAAAGTACTGAAAACTCTTATCCCTTCTAGAATTTTTGGAAAGTAGGGTATTTAGAGCATTCGCCTGATTCATGTACGGACTGTGACTTTTAACAACTAAGATGAGGTTAAATACACATTGCTAATGTTGCGCAACTGATGATTCAGAAGGACTTAACGTTTTCTTCTGGGATCCAGTCACCCTGTGTCATGATCAATGAACATTAATTAACTGTAGATGGTAGGTCAGGCTATTGGAAACAGAAGCAAATTTATCTTAATCCTCTGACACATCCTGAAAAATTATCTTTTGATCAGTTTTCTTGCCATTTGTAAATTTATCAAATATGTCTCCCCTTCCTCAACCATTTTCTATAATTCGGTCATTAGTTATTTGGATTCCAGAGAGCTGTAGATAACTAGACCAACATCATCATAAATGTTTTCGGTTATCTGTGAAATGACTAGGAATCACCTACTCATTTACTGCCCCGAGTCCAATGACGACAGTTAATAGTCTGAAGTAATCACGAGTGGTGGTGGCTCAGGGAAAAGACAGTCAAAGCACAGGGGCAGGTGTCCTGGGTACACAAGTTACATGCTGGACTCACAGCTTCCTACCCTCCCTGTCCACAGAGCCATGACATAAAATCCCAGCCCTCTCAGCCCTGCCGGCATGTGACTCGAGCTGGCCTACCTCCTTCCATCTTTCTTTTTTTTTTTTTGGCAACTGGCTGGTAGCTGGTACTGAGATCCAAACCCTTGACATTGGTGTTACAACACCAAGCTCTAACTAACTGAGATCACTGGCAGCCCCTGTCTTTCTTAAGGACCAACACTAACCTTACCATTAAATGCAAAGGGGTTGATGCTTAGGCCATTTTTTTTTTCTTTTAAATTGCCAGCTCTTGGTATAAAGCTTTATTTCTGCCTTTACAATAGCAAAGTAAACCAAAACTGTGGAAGACTGTTGTCAACACAGGATTAAACAGATTTTCTTTCAAAATTAAAGAAGGAAAGAAGGATTAGACTGTTACATACAAGTTTTCAATTCCACTGAAAACAAGGTCAGTTTTAAAGATGACTTTTAAGGGACACATAAAGCAATTATTTCTAAAGTAGAAAAAATATTAGCTATGCGATTAAACTATCCTTCAAGTAGCTAGCCATTATCCCTTGAAAAGTTACTTTTGGGGAAGTTTTAGAGATTTGTGTGCAAATCTAAAACTATACTATATTAAAACCAAAGAACCAAAAAATCAACAAACAAAAATCCCTCAAGCCAAAACCCTAGCCCCTCACCACAGTCCTCAGGAAGAGCAGTATTCTCTTTTACAAAGGATGCTGTGGAGACCCAACCCTTTGCTCACCTGGCAATGCTCCGAAGTGGCCGATGGTGGCCAGCGGAGGGTTTTTCTGACTTAACACAACTTTCCCCTCTTTGCAAGGCAGAAGGTCCCAACGAAAAGATAGGAAGAGTGGAGTATGGCTTGGAGGGCAGCCGCATCTATTATCCCAAATAAAACTGACAGTGAGCAGTACTGTTAAAGAGGCAGGATCGTTAAAATGAACACAGAATTTAACCAAGCTTAGCTTACCTTTCTGCAACACTGCGAGCACACCGGCCTGTGTACAAAATCAGAAGCATTACTTGGTGTGGTGCAGTGGATGAGACTGGACGGTAAGAGAAGCCCATGGCTGCGTAACTGTGAGTTTACAATAAACTGTGAAAACTCTCTGGTTCTACCAGAATGTAACAAATTGATACAAATGTGGGCTGCCAAAAAGACAATCAATCTGTAAACTTAACTCTTACATTGTCTCCTAAAAACAGATAAATTTACATCTGTTTGGAATTTTCTTGTCTCTCCAGGGATCACATAATAATCCTATCTATTTTTTTTTTTCTGTTCAAACGCAACATACTGTTAAAATCATCTTGGTTAGATAAAAGAAAAAACATGCAGAGAAACATTTTCCAGGTTCAATACCAAATCTGTTCAATTCATTCTTTTGAAGAAATCAATATTCCTAACCTAACTGTTCAGTTCATTCTTTTGAAGAAATCAATATTCCTAACCTGCAAGGACAGCACAAGATAATAGAACAGAATAGGTCAATTTTAACATTATTCCTGTGTAGAAAAATGATGAAACACAGGTAATTGGTATTTTTTCTGTTCAATTCATTCTTTTGAAGAAATCAATATTCCTAACCTGCAAGGACAGCACAAGATAATAGAACAGAATGGGTCAATTTTAACATTATTCCTGTGTAGAAAAATGATGAAACACAGGTAATTGGTATTTTTTTCACAATTGTTAAATCTACTTTTTTGTCAATTACAAAATACCTTACCTCTTACAGAACTGACAGGTATAAGACCAGGTGAAGAAGGAAAACCTCCTGGTTCGGCAACAAAAGCAGAGCTAAAAAATACAAGTTTAAAAGGAGAAAAGAAGCATCGCCAATAGCTAATTTCCTAATATCCATGTTTGAACATATACTGGGAAGATTAGTAGACAGAGGAGGAAGAGAATTCAGAAATCCTGTTTATATGTTTGGTTCTGTGATACTGGTAATTTGGCCCTATATTTAATTATAATTCTTTCAAAAGTAATAAAAGGCCACAGCTGTCAAGCGTCTCTCCATCATGGAAGCAATCTGAAGAAGTTTCTGAAATACTCTTCTGTTTCTCATATATATTTTCATCACTGATCCTTTAAAAGTATAACAGTTAAATGCAGACATGGTTTTAGGAAGGCAGGCCATTATTTATTATGATTGTTTTTCTAAGGGAGAAACAAAAATACCACCTCTTGTGAGCAAGGCAGAACAGGGATTGTCTAGTAGAGGATGAACATCTTACCTCCTAAAATCCCCTGACAATCCTACACCCTCAGGCCAGCGGACAACTCTCCTTGGAGACCGTGCCTGGGACTGGCCATTCTTCTACCCTTCTGATTGATCAACTTTAAACAGCTCTACCTTTCCTTTTTTCAGGGCGGTGTAGACATCTTTATACTGTTGGTATTTTTCCAGCTCTGCCTTCACCAGGACCTGGCGAATATGCATCACTTCCTCCACAGTAAGAGCAAGGCACTCCACTGGGTAGCAGAATTCCTCCTGAAATTCAAAATGCCACAGGGGTAAGAAACTCCCACCCCCTGTGCTGGAATTGCAAAATTTTCCTTTAGATTAGACACCTGGTTAGTAGCTTCAGAGAAGAAAAGAGGTGTCCCAGTGAACACTGGGACAGAGCTGGCTCTCTCTGGGACCACATCATTTCTAATTGCACTAAGACTACAGATGGCAGAAAACAAAACATTGCAGCCTATTGAAATTTCTTCAGGTGTTTTGCTTCAAGTAACTTTATGCCATTAAATAGAGCTATGTATCTATGCTTCAAATCTTGAAAAAAAATTTTTTTTGTTTTAAACCAATTTTATGCCAGTTTTCTCCTATGATTATGCAAAGGCACTACTTAGTGTTGTGTTGTATACTAGATACTAATAGATAAATAGCAAATCTACAACACTGGTCTTGTTTTTACAACTGGTTTGTGGTACCCAGAATAGCCACAAGAAGGTGGTTAGTAATTTATACTGAAGCATTACCTAGTGATCAGTTACATCAGCACACCTTTAAAAATCTGAATGGTAAGTGGAACTGGAACATGACACTACTGGTGTGGTTTACGCCAAAAGGCAACCTCTCCAGGCTGCTCCACAGTTCACCAGGTTTGTTATTACTTTTCAACAACTGCTGAATGCATAGTCAGCATTGTAAAGATGTGGAGAAACTCAGAAGAATTTCATAATAAATATTTATGTTGGCTGTCTTATGTTAATAGTTTCCCTAAAAACAGCTGTGGAAGATGTTGATGTAACTGACCCCACTGAATAAGAGCCTCACAGGCATCCATTCCCCATCTGGCCCTGCACTTGATTGGTGGATCTAAGAGAAAGACAGAATGGTCTTGTGCATTCGGACCCTGCCAGGCCTCAAGGGGCCATTGTGGTGCAGTGACACTGAAGCTGAGTGTTCTCAGTACAAACACATTATAATTCTCTCCCACACACACACAATAGCACTGCTCACAGGCATTCCGGAATCCAACAAGCCAAATGAGAAAGCACATGACTATAAATGCAGTCAGTTAATGGAGTTTTAACATTCAGTTCTGTCTTTCAATCAGAGAAACACACACAAAAAAATCTAGGCTGCAAACTTGACAAACATTAGCATTTACTTTAAAAAGTAGTCTGAAGAACTACTGCTTCTTACTAAAATCAATACAAAATCATCTCTGTTTAAGCTAACATAAGGAAGGTTAAATTTGCTTAAAAATACTTTGTAAAAAACACCTCAATTGAATTTTTAAGATGAGGAGCTTATTAGTATTTGGAGGGAAGGGGGGTAGTTTATTAAGAAACATTATACCATTTGCTCTAAGATGCTTAAAATACTCATTAAAAAAAAATCATCCATCACACAATTTTCTCTTTCAATGGAAACACCGTCCAAAGATGACAGGATGAAATTGGCACATTTGGTATCTACTCTGTTTTGCTCCACCCTGAGAAGACAGAGTGGTGTCAAGTGGGAACAATGCATGCCTTTGGAAGGTTAGACCAAGAAAACTGCACTTAGTAAGCAGTGTTGGCTGAACACATCCGAATGACAGCTTATCTCACTTTTTAACATATTTCAGAAGAAAAAGTTTTTTTTTGTTTTTGTCTTTTCTCGCAACCCTCGGTGTCATGCCAGTACCGCGACCGGCAACGGGATCGCAACCCTCGGTGTCA